GTGAGGCACGGTGGCTCACATCTGCAACCCCAGCCCTTTGGGAGGCCGAGGCAGGCAGATCATGAAGTCAGGAGATCAAGACCATCCTGGCCAACATGGTGAAACCCCGTCTCTACCTAAATACAAAAAAATTGGCTGGGAGTGGTGGCATGTGCCTGTAGTCCCAGCTACTCAGGAGGTTGAGGGAGGAGAATCGCTTCAACCTGTGAGGCAGAGATTGCAGTGAGCTGAGGATGGAGCGACTGCACTCCAGCCTGGTGACACAGCAAGACTCCATCTAAAAATAAATAAATAAATAAAAAGATCCACCGGGGTTTGAAAAAGTGAACAAGGAGGTCCCATGGACTCTTCCTCTCAGTTTCCCCCAATAGTAACATCTTGCATAACTACAGTGCAATATCAAAACCAGGAAGTTGACATTGATGCTATCTACAGAACTTATTCAGATTCCACCAACAAGGAGACAATCTGAAAGACTTATGGGTAGAATTTGGATTGAACAGGCATGCTCCATCGGTGTCCCATCCTGAAGCCCAGAGCGAGTTGAAGTATGAGGGTTGGAGATTCCAGTTGCAAATGTTTCCATTCCCACCCGGGAGGCTGCCTTCCTGACAGTCCAGGCCCTCCAGCAATTAGAAGGACCCTCTGAGAAGAGCAGCTGCTGCAGAGGCTGGATGACAGACAGACACACCCGCAATCTTGGGGGAGGAAACAGATACAGTCGGAGGGCAAATGGAGCGGCCTCATTTCCTTCCCTTTTGTGCTTTGCGGGAAACTGGCATTGACTCAGCTGTGGGCAGTGGGGTAGGGAGGGGTGCAGGGGGTGTCTAGAGCATCCTGAGGCTTTTCCTCCCTGTATTGCTACTTAGAATTGTGGGCCCAGCCATAAACCACTTTCTCTACCATCTAGAGACAAAACTACGCTTTAAAAATTATTTATTTATTATTTTGAGACAGAGTCTCACTGGGTCACCCATGCTGGAATGCAATGGCATGATCTCGGCTCACTGCAACTTCTATATCCCAGGCTGAAGTGATCCTTTTGCCTCAATCAGTCCTACTGTCTCAGCCTCCAAAGTAGCTAGGACTACAGGCATGTCCCACCACACCCAGCTAATTGTGTGTGTGTGTGTGTGTGTGTGTGTGTGTGTGTGTGTGTGTGTGTGTATTTTATAGAGACAAGGTTTACAAGGTTTCACCATGTTGCTCAGGCTGGTCTCCAACTCTGAACTCAAGTACTCCTCCCGCCTCGACCTCCCAAAGTGCTGGGATTACAGGTGTGAGCCACGAAGCCTGGCCAAAGATAGAATCTCACTATTTTTTCTTTCTGAAATGGAATCTTGCTCTGTCACCCAGGCTGCAGTGCAATGGCACCATCTTGGCTTACTGCAATCTCTGCTACCTGCATTCAAGCAATTCTCCTGCCTCAACCTCCCTCGTAGCTGGGATTACAGGCACCTGCCACTGGGTCTGGCTATTGTTTTTGTATTTTTTTTTTTTTTTTGAGACGGAGTTTCACTCTTGTTACCCAGGCTGGAGTGCAATGGCGCGATCTCGGCTCACCGCAACCTCCGCCTCCTGGGTTCAGGCAATTCTCCTGCCTCAGCCTCCTGAGTAGCTGGGATTACAGGCACGCACCACCATGCCCAGCTAATTTTTTGTATTTTTAGTAGAGACGGGGTTT